TGCAATGCGCTCCAAGGGCACCAGAGCACAAGAAAAGGGTCACTCAGAAAGGCCAGTCCTCCCAAAAGCACTAAAGGGAACCCCCAAAAGCTCTTTTCAGATCAGCCATTAGATTTTCTGCCTTTCAGAAGGTGTCCGTGTAATAGAAGGCATGTAATAAACACGATAGTATGAGGGTGCCAGACCTACTTTCTAAAGCAAAAGCCCGGCAATGGGGCCACGGCCCGGAGGTTGGGGACTCCTGCTGCAAAGCCCTATGGAGCGGTATCTAAGTCTAAGTCAGGGGTTCTCAACCTTGGCAACTTTAAGACTTGTGGACTTCAACTCCCAGAATTCCTCAGCCAGCTTTGCTGGCTGAGGAATTCTGGGAGTTGAAGTCCACAAGTCTTAAAGTTGCCACGGTTGAGAACCCCTGGTCTAAGTGCTATCGCTATTGTAAAGTCCGATGGGGCAGTGTCTAAGTCTAAGTGCTATTTCTACTGCTAACTTTACATGTCCGAGGTGAATAAGGGTTGTCCCCATTAGCTGGGCAGATGAGGAGAGGATGCTCAACGGCTCCTGGTGGGCATTCCTGTGCAAGGGGGCTGCCAAAGGCCTCTCAAAGACGCCATCCCTGAGCCTTTTTCTCTTGGGAGAATGTTTGTAGTTTTATAAGCAGGGCCAGAGAATCTGTCATGCATCTCCCACTTCAGGATGATCTTCTATTTATTATTTATTAGATTCTTATCTTGGCTTCATTATCTTTTATTAAATAACTCAAAAGCAGTGAACAGATCTAAGACTCTCTCCTCCTCCTATTTCCTTCACAGCTGAGAATGTGAATGGCCAAAGATCACCCAGCTGGCCTTTTCTACTTTTAAAAGTATTATTTATTCTTTCTTATTTCTTTTTTTTTTTTCTTCTATTCACAAAGAGCACCGTTTCAGAAGAGAGCATGGATCCAATGGGTCGTGTACACTGGGGCAATTTTCCCATGGCCCTGCCCAAATTGAAAAGCCAATGCTAAATGATGGTGTAGAACTGTAGCAGTTCTTCTCTCCCTGAAGGCATGGCAACCAACAGAAGATGGCCCATCGCAAGGGAAGGGTCTGCTTGTGAAATGGGGGTGGGGGGTGGGTGGGCAGAAGACGGGCTTTTGGATCGTGGCCTGACACGGTTGAGTATGCCCCCCAGGCCTTGTTCATCTCTTTCCCCTGGACTCCAGGAAGTTCCTTCTCCTTCAAGCAGGCCTTTGGTGTCTGGCCATTTTTTATTTGAGTAGTTAACAATGTTTACTTATGCGGTTATATTGTAATTGTTTTACAAAACGTTGTGGGATTGGGCCAGCATATGATTGACAGACAGACAGATGTTTTTTTCAGTACTGATAAAGGAGAATATTTGTAGCTCAAGGTTGAAATGAGGGGTCTTGGTGCTCTCTGAGCTTGGTTCTTTTCTTGCAGTCATTTTATTACCTAAACTATGCAACGTCATCAGTTCTAGTAAGGAGAGGGGTTTGCTCCCAGTTGATGTTCTAGTGTAGGGGTAGGCAACCTTGGCTCTTTTATGACTCGTGGACTTCAATTCCCAGAATTCCTGAGCCAGCCATGCTGGCTCAGGAATTCTGGGAGTTGAAGTCCACGAGTCATAAAAGAGCCAAGGTTGCCTACCCCTGTTCTAGTGGCTTCCCCTGTTGGTGTTGGTGGGGGTGGTCTTAGAAGATCTTTGGGTGGGCTGTTCACTGTTGGCTTTTTTGGCAGTTTCTTGGTTGGGGTATTCTTTACTTCTTGACTGTTGGTCTGACGTTAATCTTGGGTTCAATCAATGCTCATCTGGATATTGACTGCTGGTGGGGAGGGGTTTAGGTCTTTTTGTCGAGGATGGTCACAGTTAACATCAAGGTAACGTTGCCTAGTTTGGGTAATGAAACATCTGCAAGAAAACAACCAAGGAGCCCTTGTTTCAGGATTATCTGCGCACCAGCAGTGTCCCACATTGTCAGGGAAAAGGAGGTTTGGGTTTTCTTGTCTGACACCCAAAAAGAAAGACCGCCCGTGATACCTGCTCTGCATGCATGAAAAGTCCCTGCAGAATTCATCGCTAAGATATTTCACTACCAGTGCAACAGGATCTCTTAATGACACAGAAGATGAGCAAACGCCCTACTTACTTATTTTGAGGTGAACAAGGTCGTGTTAAATACTGGCACATTGGGAGCAGGAGGAAAGCAAAGGCGATTGTCGCAAGGACTGCAGAGAAACAGAAAGAGGGGGGGGGGAATGCCATTATTGAAAAAAAAATCCATGAAAAGCAGACATCCATAATTAACTCAGACAATTTTGTTTTTAGAGTCCTGGTTGGTTTTTTTTTGAGGAACAATATCAGTATCCTCGGGGCTTGCTATTGAGTGCTTTAGACCCACAAAACAAATACTTTCTCAAATGGAGAAGCATACGTGACGTTTGGCAGAAGACCAAAAGCCCTGCGCAGTGTATCAGAGGCTGCCTTTTTGTGACTGGCCCCAAGTTTCAGCCCGCAGACTCAGGGTGACTAAGATGCAACTGGGAAAGTTTAGCAACATCATCAGCACATTTTGATCCTAACCTTCCAAGTTCTTCTCCACAACTCCACTGAAAGAAATAGGCACCTGGGGTTCTTGCGGAGTTTCTAACTGCTTAAATACAGTTTTGGAAAAAGTGTCTCCAGTGCATTAAGTTGTACAGTTACGTGTTTCATTTTAGATGTTTTATTCTACAGGTTTATGCCCACCCTTCAATTTCATGGTGGTTTACAAAAAAACATTACTACAGTAAAAAAGTAAAACAGAATCAGAGCAATGTGTAAAAAGCAGCATAAAAACATCAGATGTATAATAAACACAAAATGATCTTAAAAATAGCAGAAATAGGTGAGATCAGGCATTTGCCCAGGGGGGGTGGGGAGGGGGGGTGCATGGCAACATCACAGCCTTGTTAAGTATTTCCAAAAAATCAAGCAAAAATCAAGGCTTGACAAATTCATTGTACCCAAATCGTTTATGCTGCAACTCCCAGCATGCAACTCACGTCTGGTCACGCTGGCTGGGGTGGACAAAGTAAATACGTTTGTTCAGCTCTCTTGGATACACACACAAGGCTAACTAGACTTTTGGCAACTATTAGACCAGGTTTTTCAGACTGATCCTTGGAACCCCAAGTTACTGTGAGAGGTTAAGGGTGAAAAAAGCATGATTTTGCCAACAAGCCTGGGGACTCAGAATCCACCAAGTGGTTGGTTTGACAGTTGTCACCAGGGGTGGGTGGAGGATTATTGGGTTTTGTACTGGGATTTTATTTCTGTAAGCTGCCTAAAGTCATTGTGAGTTGGGAAGCCATGAATGTGAAATAATAAAAAATTGAGTAGAGTAGAGTAGAGTAGAGTGTAGAGTGTAGAGTAGAGTAGAATCTTTACTGCAAATAGAACAGAGAATAGAATAGAATAGAATAGAGTAGAATAGAATCTTTATTGCAAATAGATAGAATAGAATAAAATAGAATAGAGAATAGAGAATAGAGAGTAGAGTAGAGTAGAGTAGAGTAGAGTAGAGTAGAGTAGAGTAGAGTAGAGTAGAGTAGAGTAGAGTAGAGTAGAGTAGAAATAAAATATCAAATCAATCAAATCAGTTTCCTCAAATGCAGCCAATTTCTATCACCAGCACTGCCTTTCTTGATGAGGGCTTCCAGCTTCTGGATCATGAAAAAGGCGGGAAACCCCTCCTTCAGACAACCAGCCTCACCTGCTGTGCATATTGTAAAAACCACCTGAACCGAGTCAAAGAAGAAGAACATAACCAGGAGAGACACCGATGCCCCAATGGGCAGGAAAAGCGCCTGGGTCGAATCAATGGTCTGGATACCTGCAGGGTAATAGGAGGAAAGGCAACCATTATTTGGCATCTCACAAGAGCCACAATCCTCTTGATGCCACACAAACAAATAAAGCTAAAGTGGCAAACTAGATATGCATATTTTTAAAATGCAAATAGGAAATATTCAGAAGAGGAGAGAAACAAGAAATATAATACAGATAGTCCTTGATTTATGGCCACCATCAGGAGCAGAAATTCAGTCACTAAGCAATGTGGTTGTT